ATCAGTGACATGAATAGTAACTATATAAGGAAAAACATAATAGGACATGGATTATTAACAAAAGAGAGTTGAAAGCCCCCCTTCACATGAAAAGATATTCCCTTGCTCTTAATCATGAGATGGTCTTTGCACAGGCTAATTGTATAATATCTTCAAAAACAAGAACTTTTGAAAAGCGCCCTTTTAAAGCTGCCACTTTCATCATCCTATGCAGAGAGGAATAGGGACTGAGGTTTTGCAGCACTCTGAGCAAATACACAGTCAGTTTTCCTTCAGAGCAGATTTTCATCGTGGAAGGAAGAGCACAAGTCAAATTTTAAGTAAGATAAGCTTTATGAAAAATTTTCCAGACATTTAGCAAAATAAAGAAGTTCAGATAAGAGTGGAACATCTATTATGCATAGCTAGAAAGACGTCTGCTTCAATTTGCAGGCCTCCATATGTGACCACTCCTAAAATGAGTGCCAGGAGAAGCACAGAAGTCTATTCTCTCCCAACATATTTCTGGGAATGTAATGGTACTTGCAGAAAATGCTTCCATCAGACTGTGCTAACGCACCCTTTAAGCAATCCCACCCACAACAAGCTTCCTTTAATCTCTGATTGCTCATAATGTGTACCCGTGGCACACAGGAGGTCCTCAGAGAACCGTGAGGAGGCTAAGCTGGCTGGGGGAGATGACACTGCACTTGGAGAAAAGCAGAACATTGCCGCTGGATGTGTATGCAGCATTTGAGACGTCAAGCTGGTGAGGTGCCGACAGTCACGGGACAGCAGAAGAACAGAGGATTAGAGGCGGAAATTGGCTTGCTGAACAGTGAAAATGGATAAGGGTTACAGGCAATGCACAGAGCAATGGAGTCAACTGCACTGAGGCTTTGAGAAGAGCAAGGCAACGGAAGACGGCACGCGAGGGAGACATGGGGCTCTGGATAATAAAGGGGAAGGCAGCAACTGCTGGTCATGGAGTAGGCTGAGGCACCGCCCCTGTGGAAGACAAAGGACATTGAGAGGAGAGGCAAAGGCAGCACTGCCCATCCCCATAGAGAGAAGGACGACATGCAAGATGTGACGAGTGGTATGCCAATACAAATAAACACTGTTGGAAAATGCCAACGAACTGCAACCAGAGCTCTCTGTAACCAAAATCAGCGTCAACCAAGTTCTTACTAAAGACATACCTGTGGAAGAAGTAAAAAATAATTGTATAGGTGTTTTTAAACATTTCCCTTTTGGTTTGGTGTGACGGCTTTGTTTTTTTTAATGGAGGTAAACTAAGTTGGAAACATACTTAAAGATCCATAACCTTGAACATAAAATGAAAAAAGAAAAAAAAGCCTATATTTTTTTTTGCTTGTCATTTTATGAAAGACAGCACTGTAAGTTTCCATCTCAACCTGGAACAAGGTATAGTTCCCTTCAGGGTTTAAGCTTTCAGTCAGCCTAAAAAATTCTCCCGGTTAGCTCTGATGGACACGGGGGATTACTGATGGGGTAGTATCAATTCGGGATGTAAGACGTTCCCAGTAATGATAGGAAGGGTGCGCTTTTTTACAGAGAAGACCTACTTGGCTGTTGGAAGATGCCCAGCAGACAGGCTCTTCCCCTTCCCAAAGCTCCCAAACACCGGGGCCACCCTCCTTAAGCTCCCTAAGCGGTACCCACATGTAGCCCCGCTGCTTTACATTTCCTCCCTGAAACAGTTGCCGATTCCTTCCCCTCCTCCCAGCAGAGCACCACGCAAAGGTCAGGCAAAAGCCTTTGAGATTAAATTGTAAGTGATTAAAATTTCCATTATTTTGTGAACTTGTTCCACATATTAAAGAGCCCTAATGGAACTTGCACACATTTTGTGCAGGTAGAAAGGCACATGATGACAGGAATTAAGGAAATTAATTCCTGTGCTTTGGACTGAAGTAATCTTCCAGAATGTAATTGGCTTTCAATCATTCACACACAACATGCCCTTCACCTTTAAATGGTAATTCATTTTACCATACAGGTTTTGAATTCCATTTACGTCAGGCTTTAAGAAAGCTCACATCTCCATACTAGAATACAGTGTATATGTTTTGTCCAGGAGACGACCATTGTGAGAGTGTAATTCAGATTTCTGATGTATGTATTTATACCATGTTTTACCGTTTCAGTGAGCCTTAGCGGGGGGAAATGCAGAACGCTTCCTGGCCAGAGATCAAGCAGCAATTCCCTCAGCAATGCAAGGTTATTAATGCCACCTCTCCTGAAATGCTTGCTATTTTCTTGCTGCGCTGAGCCCTCCGTGGGACATGGCAAAGTGGATGTCAGTGTACAAGACTTTTCAGGCCCGCGCCTAGATCACAGCAGAGCTGTGCAAAACATAGTGACAGTAAACATAGCTGCATCTGCTTTAATAAAAGTGACAGAAATCTGGAAAATCTCACCATGTAGCACTTTTCTTCTTCCGTGGCTGTGAAAGAAAGAGTACAGAGGAAATATCTGGAAGCACTGGGCTTGGTCTAGTTTCTTCTGGGGTTGCTTCAGCCCACCCTCTTCAGTTGATGTAGCAGCAACATGTTACAGGTGATGAAATGTATCCCTCTGACGGAATGGCCATCTGCAGGCCAGGTGCAGCATTTAAATCTATTTCTTCTTGTTTGTATTTTCCTTTTGCACGTCACATCCTATCATTCTGTGATGTTTTATCTCCCTCACACTAATATCAGCCCTGGCTGACAACCAGGGAGACTGTAATGTTGGCACTGCTGCCAAATGGTTAGGCATATCCTGGACACAGACAACAGATGCTTATATTTAAATTGGGACTAATTTGCATTTTTGTGTATTGTGGATTTTTTAAAGCATAGTTTTACTAATGAAAAGAAATGTGTAATTCTGAAATAGTAATACTTTCCTTTGAAAAGCCAGGTTTGCTAACGGATTGCCATCTGTTCAACCCTTTGCCAGGAAATAGATTTGTCCTGCTTACTGAAAACAGTATTAGGGTGAAACTGTAGATTACACAGTGGATTTCTGAGCAGTTTAATTTAAAGTGCACGCTAGCACTTTGTTATTTCAGTAAAAATAACTTTAGATTCTCCTTTCCTACTAATGTTGGTATTTAAGCCATCCAGCAAACTGTATTTAGAGTACTTTGTGGGCTGTTTTGCTCTAAGTTGGGTTCCAGAAAAGGTGCCTACCTCTCCTTTATCATTTTGCAACTGAGTTCATCAGGTTTCTTTTTCATAGGATTTACAGCAAGAAACTCTTTATCTTGCTTCGAAAGCCCATCTTAATCCTCTGGAAAAAAACATTCAAAAAACCAAGGCACTGACCCCAATCATGCTTTCAAGCGTACAAGATTTATACGTGCTGGGAGCCTCTCAGGGCCTCTGGATGCAAGTTAGAGGAAGCAATTCAGGATGCTGTACCGGGCGCTGTTGGACCTCTGTAACAGATGGAGCCGAAGGAGCAAACCGTACCAGAACGGTAAGTTACTCTCCTCTGTAACCCACAGACATCTAGTAACACTTCTGCTGAGCCCTATTAGGGGCACAAATGCACTGCGAGGGAGAGGTCCAATTTTTACAGCCTGGAGGCAAAAGCTGAATTTTAACATAACTTCAAGATTTCAGCACCCTCTTACACTGCCTCGGTGAGGCTACTGACACAGTTTCAAGGCTAGCAAAACACCAACCGCTCTCCCTACCCAGACCCAGTAGCTGTCCACAGGAATACGCAGACGCGCTGTTTTGTAGGGTAACATCATTAACGCCAGCGAACAGAGAAGTTGCAGTCACTGATCCCTTCCCCGCATATCCCCCTCCCGCCA